TTCTCGACTATATGCTCGCCGAGCATCCCCATGCCATCAGCTGTAACTGCGTGTCTGCAGCGTGCTAAGGGCACAACTCGATCGGAGTTGGCGAATGTTGCTTCTCATCTGGCAGTTTCGCTTATGAGTGAGAAGGAGAAAGAAGAGCTGCTGCCATCAATGCTTTCGGCGTTAGACAAGCCTGTAGGTTTTTTTCTTAAATTTGTCTCCTTGCTTGATGGTAATAAGTCAATTCTGCTCTGTCTTCCGTACTTATCAGTCCGAAATCTTTTCAGAATGTTACGGCTGGAGATTGTTGGCTAGCAAGCGCTTTCATCGTAACCTGCCCCACATCTACTGCTACCACATTGTCAACAATAAACAAACTTTTGAATATCGCCGAAGAAGGCTACAATAAGCCTAACAATGTGTTGGAATCGGCTCTGGGTGCACTTTCCAATATTCTGCGTAGAATTTTGTCAAAGGATGAGGTAATATCTGCCGTTCAGCTACTGTACTCTCTCATTTTTTTTTGTTTGAGAAGTTTGAACTGTCTGAAGAGGATCTTGGTCGCGTGCTAGCTGTTTGCGAGAAGATTGCAGTCTCCAGGAAGGACGCTGTATCGACAAAGGCACATGAGGAGTCCACTAGAGCTATAGGGTTCTGCGCCACTACCATGGATGATGGACTTTACGAAAAGGTAATTTTCAGCGGCTCCTTCTTCATACATATTGGTGGATCTCTTGAGTTTGAATAGATTATCGTTATTTATCCTATTTGTGTATTTGCTTTGAGTAATGCATGATATTCAGCTGACGTCAAGTCTATACTCAATTGGAAGCGGTCCCCCACAACCTGAAGTGCAACTTGTAGTTGGATCTGCTTTATTTGACGTTGCCCTTGGACCGTACACATCTTCTCGGCGCAATCTTTACTTGATAGCTGAGGACGACATCAAGGTAAATTTTTGATAGGAAATTGTCTACCTACTGCAGACTTTCTTTCTAGCTCCCTTCTTTACCCAACGACGTTCAACAGAAGTGTGAAGATCGATTGAGCCGTATATTGTCCAAAATCTTCGAGAAACTTCCTTCCACAAATCATCATGAAAGAAGATCTGCACTTGTTTGGTTGTTTGTTATAGTAAGAAAAAGTTCCAAAGCCAAAGCTGCTGTCCTGCATGGTATGCTAGACAGAATCCAATCGGCGTTCGGGATGGGACTATCAGAAACCGATGGTTAATTCGTCTCTCATAACCATGAATATCATTACATAATTTTCTTTCCAGATTTCATCCAGGATATTGCTTCGAACGGAGTAGGTTTAATCTACGAACTGGCAACGGCTGAGCAGCGCAAGGCTCTTGTGAACGATCTTATGTCCAATATATCTGAAGGAAAACCGTTTGCGGCTGTTAAACTCGACTCAAATTCCGTTGTTTTTGGCAAGGAACAAAACATAACTGGTCCTGATGGGTAAGTGGATGAAAGAGTTTGTCCATATTCGGACGATACTGTTTTGTGGTTTAGACAGCAGTTGAGCACATACAAAGAGCTGTGCTCCTTAGCTACAGATCTTAATCAGCCTGATCTCGTTTATAAGTTCATGAATCTTGCAAGACACAACTCTGTGTGGAACACCAAAAAGGTAGTGATTT